ATATTAAAAAAAACTTCAAGGCAGCTGGTAAAAAAAAACCCCCAACCCATTTTTTTTTTTTTTTTTTTTTTTTTTTGTTATTTAAAAAGAGGGAAATTTGTCTCTGAAAATATCACCTCCATCATGTTAAAACTAACTCATCACTCTTGAAGGAGTGATGTCTTAATGTATAGTTGGTAAGCTTTGAGCAAAGTATTATTCAGCAGCTGCACCCAGCCAGCATGCCTAGGTGGGCCCCATGTGGGGACAAGGAGGGCAGACTACACAGCCCACATGGGCGCTACATGGGCGCTACATGGGCCCTAATTGGACAAAACCCATGTGGGCCACCACCATATAGGGCCCATGCAGGGCCCATGTGGGCTCTGGCCCTACATGGGCAAACCCATGTGGGGCCATCGTGGAACCCGCGGACAAACCCATATGGGACCCATATAGTCTGCCCTCCTTGTCCCCACATGTTCTTCCTGAGCAGGAAGCCCCATGCAAATGTCTTATATTATTATTATTATTATTATTTTTTTTTTTACCTTGTGTTACTGTAAAAAGATCAACACATCAAACAGGTAAAATATTTTGTGCACTAAGTATTCTATTGTTTCTTAAATTTTGTACAACAATAAAAATACATAGAGATAACGATCATTATATCTGCACCAATAATAAGAACAATTAGAAGGCAAAAGAAATTAAACTGACAAATTTTTTTTATATATATATAGCGTGAAACCATGCTGTACTTTTGTGAAGTTTATCATACAGTTGAAACCTCACACCATTCGATACCCCATACTCTTATACCCCAAAATACTACTCCATGAAATCAGAAGCTATTTGACTGATTAACTCCTATGAACTTCTTACAAAATCTGGAACAGGGCAAGTTTGTTGTAGCCCAGGGGTCCCCAAACTTTTTCCTGCGGGCCAAATGACTGTTCCCTTTTCTGGTCGGGGGCCGGTCTTAGTTTTTCGAGAAAGAAACCTTAGAAAAGATTTTTTGACGGGGGTGGGGGGAGAAGGGGGGGATTGGATTACTGCCGACGACATATTCGCGTTTGTAGATAGATTTTTACCCAGAATGCAAATGGAAAAAAACCGTGACCGAAACGGTGACTGGTACCGACTAGTATATATTCCATTGAGGGAAACTAAGTTTTATATCGGTGGTTGAAGAAAAATCCACATATATATGAAAAAAAAACACTGAATGCTCTCTGGTATTGTTCAGGGGGCCGGACCAAATGAGGAGGCGGGCCGGATCCAGTATTGTTCAGGGAGGCAGGCTGTAGCTTGGGGACCCCTGTTGTAGCCCATTGGCATTTCCACTTGCTGTCTCTGTTTTTCTGTTAAAAGCCAACAAAATACAGAGTTCCACTGTAAACACTGCAATAGCTTCGTTTCACAGACAATAAGGCTGGTAAACCGTAACAGCAAGAATACATAAAATGTTTTGATTACTGCAGATTTTGTTTTATTCTTGTTTTTGCTCTCACTGACTGGGAGAAAGGCAATTTAGTTGGAACTAAAACCTGAACATACCTGTCAATAAAGTGCTTGAAAATGAAGAATTTGAGACAGTGATATTGGTCTTGAAGATGAACAAAATAACCTGAATCTGTGTTGAGTATGGTTAGGCAACACGCACGCACGCACGCACGCACGCACGCACGCCAAAAGATAAATCAAATTTTAAAGGACTCCATTAAACCAATCATTAGTATCTTTGTCGTTGCTTCGTGTTGTTGGTTTTTCCAAAAGAAAAAAAAAAAGTTGAATATTACAAAATGAGGTTTAAAAAGCATATTTAATCCTCTGCAGATGTGCAACTGAAGGATAACGTTGTGCTGAAGACACTTTTCATGCCATGAGCATCACACAAAATGAAAGCTTTTGTCAGCCCTCCAGCCATCCTATCCCAATGCCAATGACCTGAGACGCTTCAGATGGTTCGATGTATATACAAAATGACACCTCATGACTTTTCACACTCACTTTTTCTCTGCGGAATAAAACACCGTGTGTATATATAGGCACTGCTTTTCCCATAACAGAAAAAAAGCCACTCAAAGGGGCTCAAAAGTGCAAGAGGAGAATATTTTTAGCTTCAAAGGAGCTTTCTATAGATGCCTTTGGCAAAACTGCCCAACACAAGCATTATCATTAACAGCTGCCAGCGAGAATTTTACAGAATCCCCATGAAACCCCCGTAATTGCAAAGTACTCGCACCCATCTCTGCCATATTCTCACAGCACCCACGTCACCGCATGTTCCTTCACAGCTAATTACCAAGCCTCTCTGAAGAAGGGACATGCCCGCCTCCCCCTCCCTGCTCTTTCTTCAGGAGGATGATTATTGCACATCTGAGTTAACACAGAAAACTCCACGGCAGGAGCGAACTGTAATGCTCCACAGGTGGGAGAGACGAGTGGGTTGAAGACAGTTCTATCTGAGAGAATAGAAGATGAAACACCTTTTGTACAACTTTCCTTCTAAAGCGTGGGCCTCCATCTCCACAAACAGAATGTATTATTTACAAAAAAAATGACTTATATGGTGGCAGCAGCTCTATTTGGCTTAGGAGTAATGCTATTAAATATAAAAGCAAATAACCTTAGTGATCTGTAAACCTCGCAAAGAATGTCCCAAAACATTAAATGTCTATTTTGCACCTATACTTTTATTTGTTTTATGAAGATTTCAGTCTTCAATTTTTTTTTTTATGAGCCAAATCTCCTTGAAATGTTTTGGAGTGTTTTGGATCAATATTTCTTCAGGCTTTCTAAAAGTTCTCAAGATCTTTCTTATGAATTTAGCTGATTTTTATCACTAGTGTGTGTCCAGCATCTTTTTTTTTTAAACCACTTATTTCTGATTTACGAATCAATCATACACAATCACCCTTAAAACAAACAAATAATAACACTGCATTGAATCTATCCATAAACAACTTGGTAAGTCATTCTAAATAGAATCTGACAAAATTGTATACTGTATGCTGAAAGTTACCATAAGCACGTCACTGGTGACCGAGTTGGCTAAGTCGGTGACAGAAGAGTTGGCTTCGTGGTTCTGCCCCTGCCGGCGTCCAGTTTCGTCTGGGGTCTGACCTCTGGGACTCCTGCCTGGTTTGTTTCCTGGAGTTCTGGTAAAGTGCACACAAAATAGACACATCCTCAGAGAGACGCCAACATTGGTCTATTGGCGAGAACCATTTGGTCACATTCTTCTAAGTTCTTTCTGTGGTTTTCTTGTCGCACGCTTTCAAGTGCAGCATCGATGAAGTGAAAACATAAATTTGACAGCAAAATTGTACAGTTTCACCACTTAGTCACTTTTTGGTCCAATATTAAATTCAAACACTTTGGTCTTAATTGTCAAAATTACATTTGTTTATGTAATAAACACTAAACTATGTCCTTTAACACTCGGTCAATTTAAAACCATGCATTTATCAATTAAACTGCCATGCATTGCTACGAGGCTGTAATGCATCTGGTCAAAAAGTCAACACACACACACGCACACACACACACACACACACACACACACACACAATTGCATAAAAGAGATTCGAACCAAAGACCTATGAGGCAACAACTAATGCTTCATCAGAGAGCAAAGATGCAAAGGCTAAATCTTTACCACTGTAACATACCATTGTTTAGTAGCGCATTTTCTTTTAACATAATGTAACAAAGAAAACTCAGCAACTGAAGGTGTAAAAATGGAAACAAAAAAGCCAAATAGTTCCAGAGGAGAAATGTGAACAACAGGTGGACCAGCAAAGTTATCAGACCCATTTATACTGGAGACACCAACCAGCAGAAAAAACTTTTGCACCATCTTCCTGATTTAATCTCCTGGATTGGAACATATGTTGCTCTTTCTACACTTATACCAAATAATATTTGAGGTGCTTCGTAAAGGTTCTGATGCCGTGTGTGCTGCTAATAGACACCTTCATAAAAGCATGCAGACCTGCTTGTTGATACTTCCTTTCCTTCCTTTCTTTTCTTCTTTCTTTTCTTCCTTTCCTTTCTCATCACTTTCATATAGAAATTTAAAGGTTTTTCAAAACATGTTGATAAGATTATATATGCTATAATTTCATATCCTATGCATTTATTATTCAACCCTCCTGCAGTCTTAGAGTTGCAAATGTTATGGTCGGACAGTGACCATAAGATTTGGTCATTGTCTGACGGTGTGTCCCATCAGACCGTCAATTTTGAAAAATTCACAAAAAAAAAGCGTCAAAGCATATGTGGGGTCAGTGCAACCAGACCAGACCGTGCAAATAGTACAAAGTTTGTGACCCCATCTGTTTAGATTGAGGGAGGGTTAAAAGACAGTTCTACCTTCAAATATATACTGTGCATCATGCAGGGCAGTCTTTAAGCACAAATCAATGTTGAGATGCCATGTTGGATGTCAAAATAAAGATTTGCTAAAATCTTCTGTTCTTAATTTACCCGCTATTTTTTTTTATCTCAGTTCAGCAAACGCATAAATGTCATTGCTCTTCATTAAAATAAAATATTGTATATCTTTTAAGATGAAAGAATGAATCACAGTATCAAGACTTTCAAAAAATATTTAACTATGGAAAACAGAAACTCCCTTTGTTTTGTCTGTAAACACAAGGGCTTTGCAATTAAGAAGAATCAAGATATACCAGAAGACTGAGAAAAAGTGAAGTAAAAGATTGGCTAAAACTCAAGGGACTAATTAGCACAAGAAATTGAGGTAACTGATGTGAGACTGAGACATCAATGGAAACCCTTAATAACACACAAAACAGACTAAGAGATAAATTAAGGTAAGAGTAAGACACGGATAAAATCCAACAAACAGAACCAAATTTAGTTTGATTAAAGAGTCAGATGTTTTAAAGCCAAGAAGAGGAAGAGATCCGATATGTTTCATGGGCACACAGAACAGACAGACGACGGAGCGGGAGGGGCAAGGGACAGACAGGGATTTTGTAGCAAAGAGACAAGCAGAAGTAGAGCGACGCTGAATGAGGAAGAGAAAGGATGCGGCATGGAAGAGAAAAGAATGGATTCGTCACTCTGCGTAGATTTCCTGTGATCTGCAGGTCAGAGCGCAAACAATGCGGGAATGACTCAATTCGAATAGCAAGCTCTGTGTTTCATGGCCCTGTCAAATACAGCTTTCCTCAGCAAGTGTCTATTAATGTAGACATCTGAAACAATGCAGAATCTTTTCTTCAGCAGGTCAACATGATGCTAATTTTAGCTCCTAGCATCAGCCCCTAACACATCAAGGGACAGCGTGTGTCCCAAAAATAACTACAAACATGCCACTATTTGTCTTTGCCTTAACTTTATGATAATTTTGGCCATTTCATATCCGACTTTTTCAACCAATTATTTCAAAAAAAAAAAAGTTGTTTGAGAATGCATATGTAGTTTTTTGTTAGGTAAACATGCTTACCCCTTTTAAAAGAAAGGGTCATTTATACCCCATGAGTTTTTTTTTACTCTGTGCTGAGTCCATCCAAAATTCATCAAAATATTTAATTCCCAAGAGAAATAAACATTTGGAAAGATTTAAAAACAGAAGAGTGAAATTTAAATTGATAACACATGATAAATATGATATGATATATGATATATAAAATGATATACAATATGATATGTAACGTTACTATGGAATGCTAAAGAGGCAAAGTGATCCTGAGCTGTGAATTTACTGACTGCAACACCCAAAAACTTTTCCAACTCTTCTTTGTGCCAGACACAAAAACTCCCCTCAGAAAACTAAATTAGAAAACTCCTTATGACCATCAGTACAGCAAATATTTACATGAATATTGTCATCTATTGATGGCTCTTATAGCTGATGCTTTGTAGTGAATCAGAAGAGCGGATGCCCATCGAGTGAGAGCTGGCTCCTCACTTTTTTTTTCCTTTTGTTGTTCAGTTCTCACAGTCTGTGGCTCCTCCCTGTTAATGACAGAACTTTGCTTTGATTGGCAGCATGGCTGCCTCGTGGCCAATCACATGTGAGGACATCGGATCATAGTATTATATGGAAACAAAGAGGGAGGACAGCAGTGTACTGGACATAGTTTGGTTACTGAGTTTGGTTCATTTTCTGTAATGGTTCTGTTCATTTGTGTGTGTGTCAAACAAAAATAAAATGCTTGATTAAAATATCACACAAAACTAAGAATGATAGCTTTTTTTTTAAGAAATACATTCAATTGGGCAAGTATAAGACTTCTCATAAAAACACTTAATGCAAGTGGACTTATTAATATGCAAACCATTCATATTTTCCACGTTGGGATGAAATGTGAGGCAACAGATGATAATAAATACAGAGCCGTTTGGGAGCCGATGTGTGTCTCAAGAGCTAGCTCTCTGAAACGAGTCAAACTTCCCATCACCATTATTGCCTAATTTGTTTACATACAACCTTAAAATCATCCCATTTCTGTAAATGATAGTTGAAATGATAGATGTTAATTTGCTATGTGATTCATTTCCAACCTGCTGCTTCACACACTTCACACACATATTGATCCTCTAATGAGAACAACGCCTTTGAAGTTAAGCTTAAAGTAGCAATGATGAGTTATATTACATTTTCTTTTAATCATATTACACAATGCTTGTTTTATAATAATTACAGGGCAATTCTTGTGTTATATTTGGTGCTCTTTACACCAAACCAATTGTAGCTCAGCCACATGACCGAGGCTCTCTTTACTTTGATTATACAGTAGATAATACATGGCTGTCAGATGGGTCTCTACTTGCATGCTTCCCTGTAGGAGGGTCTGGCTTTGTGGACGCCTTCATAAAGACCCTTTGAATCAAGGAAGGATCAACCTTTTAAAAACACAGCTGGGCTGTTTCACTTAGATTTGCTTTGCAGATCTAGTTTTCATTTTACTGTTTAAATTTTAATCTTTGACTCACGTTATCTAGGTCATGCAAAGCCCAGGATGCTGTGCTGCTATCACTGAGAAAAGTCTGTGTTTATCAGGTGTAAAAAAAATATAACATCTGTGCTCAGTAAAAAAAAAGAAAAAAAAAGTGGTCTCAGCATGTCATAGTTCCAACACAGATTAGCAATCGATGATGTTGATTGAAGACAAAGACCTGCCAAAGCAGAACAGGTTGACATTAAACAACATATGCTGACACGCTAACAACCTCTGCGGAGACTAGGGTTGGTAATTGAATGAGCTCCTTCATGTACGCATGTACAGATGTTTAAACATATACTCAGGATCAAAATTAACGCAGTTTCATACAGGAAAGTGGTGCTGCGTTAAAACTAGTTAGTTCTTTGGGTTTAGATGTGGACACACGATTTAGACATGAAACGCTGTTGTGGAAAAAGAATAAATTTACCTTGAATACTCAAAATTTATTCAGCTAGAACGGCTACAAAAAAATTGTGAATGCGAACGTAACTGTTTGAAAACAGAGAATAAGTGTCTAAAGGATAAGTGTCTAAAGCCGTAGATTGCCCCTTCTTGCCTGCCAGGGACGTTTTCATCTAAACCACAACACCAGTTACATAATTCATCCTTCAGAGGTTGTTGTAGCCATGACTACGAAAGAGTGTGCTCTCTCTTGAGGTTGTACTCCCGACCATCATACATTTTTCACAGGGTTTCAGTAACGATGGAAACAGGAGCCTCCGAAATAGGCCAGCAAAATCCAAGAAAGTTCAACATAGAGGGCAATATATTGAAAATAGCACACAGCCCTGAAGGCAAAGGGACCGAGTGTTTGTAGAGGCTTCTGAAACACACTCTTTAACTTCCCCATGGCTGCACTCCTCCAACACTGTGTGAAAACATCTCCTCATGAGCGCCAAAGTGCGAGTATGCGCTTATGCTGCAAATGGCTGATTTGTAAATGTCAAAAAGAGAAGTGCAAGATAACCTCCAGTCATGACACTCAACAGGCTAAAACAGGAATGAGCACCCATAGAGCTTCCTTCTCCTCCTGCTAAATCAATCTCGGTAATCTGACTGAAACAAACTTTGCTGTTATTTAACACTTAGCCTTTTTAATGGAAGGGAAATGTAATTAAACTGCCAGCAAGTCTTTAAAAACGAAACAAATAGGTGCGCCCACACAGAGGCAAGCGATCTCG